CAACTGTGGCGCATTAGTTAACTCATCCCAAAGGCGTACCTACTAATGAAAACTTCTAATGAGATGTTGAATTATGCGAAGGAAAGATAACGTAGACGGTGAATGCTGCTGGTTTGACTTAACCTCGACCTCTCGAACGAATCCGACCAAATATTCCTTCAGTCCGAGATCGGGAAAAGGAGTAAATGATAAGATTCAATTATCGAAAAACAGTTTATCTCGGTGGGAGTGAGCTAAGCGAAAAAGAGAAAGAAACGGCTAGAATAGGTGGGTGGGTGGGGTTTGGGGGTAGTTACAAAGAATTAGGAATGGTCCGGCGTCGATTTATTATTGAAGGGGTAAAAGAAAAAGTAAAAGGACAATGACGAAATTCGAAACTGATCGAATTTCTAATCCTTTTTGATCTAATGATTATAAGAAAATAAGATCGAAATTCGACTAGTTTGCGTCCCTGGTTGATCAATTTGAAACTAAGTGGATACGTCCGTTTCGATACGCTTTGAAGAGCGAAGCTAAAAGCTTGAGGGCGGAGCGGACTGATGTTGACCAAACACTCACGTAACCGAGTTAACTTTAAGCTCAGGTTTAAGCTTCGGCTTAAGACGAGCTTACATCCTGCGCCGAAATGACACGATGGACTCACCGTACATATTCTTGAATTCATCCATCCAATCATGTCCTATTCCATATGAGATGCAATATTTCCTGTTAATGAAAAACAAATTAAATGTGAGAAACGCGTTTTATAAATGACCTAATTGTTCTATTTTATAAATTACATTTTCGGTATTAATTATTCATATTTGAAATAATTGTAAGATCTGTATTTGTAAACTAATAATTCCTTTTTAAATTAAACGTGTTTTTTTCTGTTTATAATGAAGAATCCCGAGCGATTAGATACGAGTAAGTTAATTGCTTTAGAAAGATGTGGTATACGCAAATTTTCCACCATTTCGTGTGTAAATTCAATTTTTAAGAATGACTTAATAAACGGAACGCAGTGTGGTTTGATATTTTGAATAGAACGAAAGGTCACACGCAGCAGCGGAGTACGACAATTATATCTGCGGAACTTGTGTATATATATATATATATATACGTGTGTATAAAATATGTCATGTACATTTGTTTATATGAATAACGTTTAGGATGTAGTTCCGAGAAGATCGTTCAGTCGAGCGTTGGTATACAAACTGTTCGGATGTGGAGTGTGGCTGCGAGTTGAAAATGATATATATTACATTAGGTAAGCCTTTTTTTCTTTTCTGTTTTTTTATTTAACATTAAAGATAACCTGTTTATATGAATATTTTTATAAAGATGGATTTTAATATTGAACGAGCAATTTAAGGTATACTTTTACGAGCAGGATTATATTATATTAGAGAAAAAATGTTTTCTTTTTTTTCTTCATATATTAAAGATCACTCATTTTTGTAAATAAATTCTTTCCATCGCAAAAATAGTATTTTTAATAATCGAAAGAAAAAAGAAAATTGGTTGACCATTCTGTTAATACGCAATAAAGTTTGTCCTTGAATGGGGGTGGCATTGATTGATTGCTTTCGAATTCAATCGAAGATCGAGAGATACGTTTGTTTTATCGACGACAACGACGACCTTCGATAGAATTGTAACCTTTTCAATATTATTAATCAACCCAGCAGGTTTTCTTTTCATGATAGCGACTCGTTTGTCGATCAGAAAAAGAATACCATTGTTGTCAAGGATGTAAATGACATCGAGAAAGACGATTACGACTACGACGAAGCTAGTTTATTCCAATTTATTAATTGCCTCGAACTTGTTAGTAATTGCAGCAACTCTTGATAAGCAAAGATAACGAGATTCAAGACGATCCATGATAGTTACGACTTTGTTTGCTTCTTCCTCCTTCTTCTTCGACATTCACTTCGTTTTAAGAAATAAAAGAGACAAGAAAAATAATGACAACTGCATTTCGATGGATTCCGAGTATTTAATCATTTTCAAACTCTTAATTAAAAAAGTAAACAAGATAATTTTCTTTTATATTAAAACGTTCTTACAATCGACATAATCAACAAAGAAATTGCCATTTTCTCTCTACGTTCCTATAAAATATATTTTTAATTTTCACAATGTTGGTAGAAATGTGTCGCGGAGGTCGGGGAATTATTATTACTTTATATAAAAGTTTGTCGGAAATCGTTATATACACGAAATAAAATATATTTCCCTATGAATTGCGAGGGAACTGTAACCCTGTGATTTGCTTACCGCTCGCTTAAACTTCGACAAGCGCATTTACATGAAATTTTCCTTTTCTAAAACGTGAACGGTATTTAAGTGTGAGTTTGAAATACGAGTATGTTTGTTGAACAAACCAAAAAAAGAAAAAAAAAAGAAGAAAAGGAAGGAAAGGAACAAAAATAAAATGAGTAAAGAACAAAAAAAAAATAAAAAAAAAAGAAAATAAGAATAAAATCAGCAATGCAAATTGGTGAATTATTTAAAGCGATTTTCTCTTTATTTTTCTCTTTCACAGTGCCGAAGAATAGTTTACCTTGGAGAGTGTTACAAACGAATAAAAGATGCTGTAATTTTCTTTACTTCATTTTTATTTTTCCTCAAAATAGTGCATATGAATTTTTCATCTTTAAAAAAGTATTACAGTAGAGAATGTTTATACCATACACATGATGTAAGTATGTACTTAGATATATAAAATTTACGATCTCAACTATATAGAACATATTAAATAAGAGTTTATGATACAAAAACAAAAAAACAAAAAAATACGATTACATTGGTGTGTCATCGTATAAAAACGTATGACTCATATTTATGCGATTTTATCATTAAGAAAATAAAATGATTTTATAGACGACGATAATAGGCGATGCACGAGGAAGGAGTATACGTACACATAGTAGTCACGTAAATACATAAACAGATATGGTATATATATCTTTTGCATGTATCTATATGTAAGATGGCTCGCCATGTAGCTGAAAGATCGTTCAATTTAAACGTATATTTCGAGTTTGCTCGCAAATGTCGACAACATATGTACTTACCTATATTTGCCAAGCATCCGTCGGTCGTATATGCGAAACACACTTGTAATCATGATGAGAGCGTTGTTGAACAAAGAGAAAGAGAGAGTGAGAGAGAGAAAGAGAAAGAGAGTAGAGAGAATCTATTGCTATACGTGACAGGGGTTGGCAATATTTCGGCGCAAAGGATTTCTGAACAGAAAGTGGAAGAACGTATATGTGCCAAGAGTAAAAAAGGAGAAAGAGGGGGAGAAGGAGGAAAGAGAGAGAGAGAGAGAGAGAAAGAGAGAGGTATAACAACGAAAGGTTCATTTTATTCCTTCCTCTTAAATTACAGACATTTTTTACTAAGATATAAGAGGAACAGAGAGGAAGAAGATAGAATCCTCTTATCCACGCTATCAGAAAAGACGGTTTTATAGGATAGGATATGATATTCTTTATGTAAAACGTTATTTCGCATATATCAAGTGATACATCTATGACAGATACATATTCTTTGAAAAATATTGAACGCTTTTACTTGCATGTTTGCCTTGTTGAAAAATGTTTCCTGCAAATCGAATGATGATAAGTGTCTAACGAGAGTGGAAAAATATTAAATTGCATGAGATACGAAAGAAACAAAAAAAATTACACGAGAAAAAGTTCACTTGGTACAGTATTTTAATATAAATTCTGTTTTTCATTTTATTTTATTTTATTTTTTTTTAATTTTTTTTTTATACGATTACCTACATTACAGGTAGCTAATTTTTGTGCTTAACGAATTATCCTTACCATAATTTAGTTGCTCTCTTTAAAGCCTCTTTCAGGAATTTATGTAGGTCAGCGTTCGTTCATTCAATGGATTCTTTGAAAGAAGAGAGATTTAACGAGTTATGCACGTTTTTTTTCTCTCTCTCTATCTCGTTTCTGGTTTCTTCCTTTCTTTCTTTGATGATCGAATGAAATTCGTAAATTCTATGTTTGTTTCCATTAGGCTTATTTTCTGTTTCTTTTTCTTTTTTTTTTTAAATAAATTTTAAAGATATTTTGATCAATTTGCGTAATGCCTGTGTTAATCATCGATGCGTTTCTGTTATATATTTCTTTTTTCATTGACAAAGTTCGAATGTTTGGTGGAAGTTTCATGACAAGCAAAAGTAACATCGTGCATCCATCGACGTATGTATTTACTTTCTCGATATTAGAACCGAACACAGATGCGACTCCCTTAACGGATATCGACAACTCTTTGCCATAAGTTTCGAAAGAGTACGATGTCGGGAAGAAAGCTTTCTAACATATGACATTCTTTCATGGACGATACGAATTTTATATACACATATGTATATGCTTACGTATATACTTGAAAAGTGCATGCAAGAAAAATAACAGTATTCATCGGTTTGGTAACGTCACGTTCCATGAACGCGTTTTAAATGAAATTAATTCGAAATTTCGAAATTTTCACTTGAAAACGCTTCGTTAAATAATTTGTTTTTATAATAAATTGTCCAATTAAATCTGTAATTAATTATTAATTAAACGAGTAAATAATGATTTAGTCGCGTTAAAAAGATTTAAAGATTTCAGTATAAACTAATGTTATTATCGTACGTTAATCGTATAAATTGCACTTTTTTGAAAATTAACAATGCAAATTCTCGAAAATGTTACGCGTATTAACTGCAAAGTTTCATTGTAACGAAACTTCGTTGTTTTCATAACGGAATAGTGCTAACGGGAACGCTTTGTTTAAATAAAATGAACAATCCAATTTGCTGTTTAAAAAAACGAACAAAGTAATTAACGTTAGTATTTAATTACCGTAATTTCATAGAGAAATTTACTTTTAATCATCTCATTGATATTCTATTATTGCCAGTTTGAATAATTTTACGTAAATTTTCCGAGAATTTTGTGCTTTTCGATATACATACCAATTAAGAAATATTTTTCATTTTCCTGTTTCAGGACGAGAAGAACCAACTGCTCATCACGAATCTTTGGCTGAAGTTGGTGAGTTTATTCTTTGAAAAGGCAAAAGGGCGTAACGAGCGTTCGTTAAAATTGTACGATCTAATTCCTGCCAATTAAATCGTGTAGAATAACCGATACATTTTCCGATGCTTTTACGTATCTGCCGGCATGTTAACCGACGCTAAATTAAACCAAAAATATATAGAAATGGTGAAATAAATTCAAATAAATCTGTATTCCTAATGTGAATATACATTGTAGGAATGGTTCCATTGCCGAGGTTAATTTCAGTTATCAACGTATTATTGTACTGCTGTCATGTGGAATAATCCAGGTTATTTTGTGTAGAAAAAGAAAAGAAAAAAATATAAGAACGCGTCAACAAAAAGAAAGAAAGAAAACAAAGAAGAAATTGAAAAGAGATGACATGTTAAATCTCGTTTTGTAATTTGGCCAATTATATTCGCCGTTAGACGCATTGGGGCGATTAACTTAAACACGTTAGCGAATACTTTTCGTTCTATTCGTACACGCGAAATCGATTTTTGTTATTTACAAAGACCAATTATAAATGGAATCACCGGCAACAGGTTAAAATCTCAGTATGAAACTAAACTTGAGTGGCTAACGCGTTCTTGTTAGGACAACTTGTGAAGAACTAACGAGTCACGCGGTCATTCTTCTTGTCCTTTCGAACTTTCTTTTTTAAACGATGTTGTTCTTTCGAATCGTTTTCGTCAGTGGTGTCAAGCACGGCGGCCCGTGGTTCGTAACTTGAAACACGGATGCGATATATAAATGTTTTTTCTTAAGTCTTTACTTTTCGTTTTTCTCTCTAATTTCCTGTTAAATTAAATTTGATTGTCCTTGTTCATATATATGTTTGACGCCACTAGTTCAAGTTTCGCATCCTGTCATTATTTTTCTTGTGTTATGCGTAAAAATTGTAATCATCTTTCCTTTTGAGATCAAAGATTTTGTTGTTGTTCCCAAAATAAATTCGATTAAACTTCAAATTGTGCGTATTCTGTTCGCGTGCTCGTTGATATTTATTTAATCAATCAAATGTTTTTACGTAATAATTTTATTTTGTTTCCTCTATCGATAATTTGTATATACCTCATGGAAACAACTGCAAAATTTCTCCAACAGGGTGTTTATTTTTTGAGGATTTCTTTTTTTCCTAATTGCACCCACGTACATAACTATATATTTTATGTACTCCTCGTATATTTTATGCCTTTTATAACACTCGACGAATAAACAACGAAGTGGACGTAAAACATTTTGTTCAAATATTTTTCACCCGTAATAGAACTTTTTAACGCGTTATCATGTTTCCTTTTTTTTACCTTTTTTTTTTTTCTAACGCATTATATACGAATTCAATTATTACGCTCGTAATAGGATTATCATCGTATCATTTCAATTACATTATTGTAATGTAACGTGGAGACAAGATTTATCTATAGAAATTTATCGATTTGGACAGCCAATTTACCGAAATATTCGAATATGTTTGATTATTGAATAATTTTTGAAAAATTCTAGAAATGATATAGATATGCAATTAATTATTTTTTCTCGTTTGTTCCATAACAGCTGCAACCAAAAATCATTTTATTTATTATTGTATTTTTCTGTTTTCTTTTTCATTCTTCAAATAGTTCACACCAGCATACAGATACGCGTCATTTACTATTCAAAAATTCAGAATACTTTGTTTGGGTTGAAAAATATGATTCAATTTGAAAAAGTATCCGAATATTTGGGTGATTCGAAGGTATTCTTTTTTTTGTTTTGTGTGTATTTTGAACGAGGCGCTCGGTCATTCGATAGTTCGATTCGACAAATTTAATGAATGCTCCTCGATATCACGGTGCCTATATGTCATGTTAAATTTGACGCATAAAGGAGATTTACGGGATCGTTTCGAATTTCATATGGTTCGCACGCCGTTCGGAAGTTATCACGAAAAAGTCGATGTAATGTTTTAGATCAAAAACTTTCCGTCAAAGTTAAGCAACTGTATAGTAGCTTCTTATCAAAGCTGTCTGTCTTCGAGTTCGCGTTAAAACTTTGAAAAAACGTAATTCCTTGACTTTTCCATCCATTAGGGCTCCTTTTGACGTTCGTCGCATGATTTTTAGTATCGGATTTTAAATAAAATCAACGTCAATAATATTTTACAAGTATTTTCAAGTATATAATGCAAATAAAGAGTGTTCAAATAAATTGATACGAGCGTGTTTGCGCAAAATAATTATTTATGCTATGTATTTTTTTTATTTCTTTCTTATTTCATTTGTAATATATTTTTCTCGTTAAGGGTGAGAGATGTTTAACCCGAGGATTATTTGTTAGACCGGGACTGATCCTTTTTTTAGTATGTTTTATTTATATATTCGATTGCTTTTTTTTTTCTTTAATTAAACATCGAATCAATTAGGTTCGTAGTCGTTAATATTCTTTTTTCTAAGAAGAAACAAGTCTTTTATCTTTGCCAGGTTCTTTAGGTGATAGGATGAGTGTGTCTGAAGAAAATGGAAGTTAAAAAGAATCAGTCAAAGTTACGGGGTCAGAACTAAAGAGTCGAAGAGTACAGAACTAAAGAGTCAAAGTTTAAGAGTTCAAGAGTAAAAGAACTAAAGTCAAAGTAAAAGAGTCAAAGAGCTAAAGTAAAAAATGGTTATGTATGTACGTTAGATCTATAACATTTATTTTAAATAAATAAATAAATATCATACATTCACGTCGAGAATAAAACTAAATTCGCGTATTTCTGTCGATTAAAACCAATCTACGATGAATAAATAAAACTTAAAAAAAAAAAAAAAAAGAATCAATAGAAAAAGTATTTTTTACTCAAAACATCGTATTTCGAAAACCTCGTTCTTTTCCAGTCAATCGATTCGATTCCATTCCCATCTTTGTTTCTTTAGTTTTTGACTTTTTCTTTTTCGTTCTCTTTGTTGTCTCTCGACATTTTGAAAAGAGAAAAATTCTTGAAAATTTAGGAAAGTCTTGTCGACAGCTATATACAGAACACGCCATAACGTTTGAATGTTACTTTTTCTCTTTTTTACGAAATAACGAGCAGTTCGCAGTAAGAAGTTTTCGGGGGTTCTGGTACATTGTACATATGTATATATGTATGAATGCATGTATATATGTGTGAACGTGCTTGTATGCGTATCGCGAGGGTTGAATATGTGTAATACAGCAACACGAGAAGAGCAACGCTTTTCGTCAGAGAAAATTGTCCTTCACACCTAGTCTTTCGGCATTTTCTAACAATGGCTTCACGAGTTAGCTTCCGTAACCGTAACACAGCAGCTTGCGTAAATACAGCGAATTTATTGCAAGCTTTCATTGCGGTTTATGAAACGAATCGTTTTTTGTTTAAATTAATATTCCCCTTTATGATTTAGAAACGTTACATTCTAAAAATGCTCGTTTTTTGATTACGCTCCGTTGGATAAGTTCAAGAAGGAGGAAAATAAAGTAGCGTAGAATTTTATTGGAAAACAGAGATACGAATTTACCCATTATTTTCTACTCTTATTATTATTATTATTATTATTATTATTATTATTATTATTATTATTTATAAAGAGGGTAGAAATATGATAACGTTTCACCATTATTTACATGGGAATGTAAGCTTGAGTGAATTCGTTATCGTTGAATTAAAATATTAAAATGAAAAATAGGGGAAAAAGAATACAAGAAAAAGGAAAGAGAGAGAGAGAGAGAGAAAGAAAAGTAAAGTCAAATAATAATAATAAAAGCAAAGAAAAGAAATGATAAGAGAAGAAATTACAAATTATAAAGGACAAGTGAAATTATCTTTGAAAAGGGGGCGTTTTCTGAAAGTTAACTTTCGCGTGAAAATACGAATGGGTCTCTCGTCGGTGGCCGTATAAATTGTTGAAAGTGCTTCTCTCTAATTTATTTAGTTTTCAAGAAAGAAAAAATTTATTTCTTTTATTATGAATTGAAGTAGACGATGCGAAGAAACATTTTCTTTTTTTCTTTTTTTCTTTTTTTCTTTTTACTCTTTTTATCATTATTTATTTTCTTTTTCTCTTTTTGGAGAGGCGAATAAAGTTTGGTGTTAAATAAAATGATGCAGGTGTGTTTGACTTGGAAGTAGATATATTTTTGCCAATGTAAATCGAGAAGATATTCGAGAAAAACGTCGTAGGATATTTCGATAGCGCTGTCACGTACATTTTCCTTTCGATCGAATATAAAATAAAAATGGGAAGCGTTTCAACCGTAAATCCGATGAAAAAAATTCGCATTTTTAACTCGCTCAAATGAACTTGTTTTATTAGTTTTTTACATTTTTCTTTCTTTTTTTTTTCTGAAACGCTCGAAATTATTAGCAAAAGAAATTGACGCGGTAGTCGATTCGAAGTTTAGTCATTTAAAAGAATACGTCGGTAAAAAAAAATGAAGAACAGAAAGAGCAGAAGTTATTGTTAAATCACTTTACACAATCGTTTATTCTTTCGAGAAAATCTTTCAACGTTTCAAGATAGATTTGCAAGATGTTAAAACTTCATGAAAATGTTCTCATTCCAAGAGTAAATTCTTTCTCTTTCCTATCTCATTTTATTGACAGACCGTAGAAGAAGATATTTTCTTTATTTCTCCTCCTCATCCTCCTCCTTTACTTTCTTTTCTATAACTTTGAAAAGACGCGATCACGGAATAGAAGAAAAATACAATTAGGATGGTTTCTTTTTTTTCATGTTTTTTAGTTGAATCTAGTTAACTTCCAACTCTGTTATTTTCAATCTTCCTTAGAAACGATAAGATAAGCATATTACATGTATGCATGTAGACATTTACATGTTCAAAGAAGATTACCTATTTCCTGAAAAGAGTGGTTAAGATTTCGGTTCGGTTGTTCGCTAACGTCGTCATCGTGTTTTTACATGAAAGCAAATTCTTCGAGCTTTTGTCGTTTGACCCGAAAGGTATTCGATATTATACGCGAATATCTAATAGAAAGACCAACGTGCTGGTAA